CGCGCTCCGCTGGGCGAGGCGCTGGCCGCGCCCGCCAGAGCACCACCACGCACGCAGGGCAGGCGCCTCTGGTCTGCACGCGGCCTGGCTGCCTCGATACGCCCGTGTTGAAACGCACGTAGCACGCGCCGTGTTCAAAACGTCCGTGATTGGCTCAGCGTGTTTGCCTTCGTTTCGGTGACTACTTATCGCGCCACACGTACGTTTTCGGTTCACGTCGCTAGGCCTCCCAGATGGGGTCCGAGTAGATGGGTGGGAGGATCGCGCCGCATCGCCAATGCATCGCCGATGCAGCTCGATGTGGAGCCTGATGTTCTCCACGCCGATTGCGCCGATGCATCACTGGCGTCGCCGAGGCATCGCCGATGCATCGGCGATGCAGCGTCGATGCGGGGTGCACTCCTCCGACCCCGGACCCCATCTAGGAGGCCTCTATGGTCTGCCCGCAGTGGTTCAGAGCAGGAAGTCGGAGAGGAGTTCACGGCATACGGTCGGACCGAGGTAGAAGATCGAGGTCGGCTCGGTGAGGGTGACCTGATGGTTTTCGTGTCTGTTGGATGGTCTTGTGCATCCTGGGGGAGAGTACCTTCGAGTGTTCTTCAGCTTGGCTGGTGCAGGGTCTCGTGTTCTTGAAGGATGCTCTTCTGTCCCAGGTCGGGCCGTACACATCAACCTTTCGGAGCTCCGCGCGGATCTCTTTGACCGGCGATGGGGCCCTCCTGGGACCTCTTGCATCGCCCCCGGCGCGCTCCGCGCGCATGGGAGGGATTCCAGCGCCGACGTACCAAATCCTCGCGGATCTCCGACAGTTTGTTCCCCCCCCAGGAACAGATATGCCGAGACCGCTACGCACCCTGCCCTCGTCACCACGGCTGGATTCGCCTCGAACTCTTGGCCGGAACGCGCCCCAGGAGAGGCCCGGGGAGCAGGGACATCGGTATATAGATTCCTCTTCCTATATTTTTACAAGCCCGGGGGGGGGGGGGGGGAAACCCACCCCCCCCAAAAAAAAACTGGACCCCCGGGATCTGGGGTTCTCGGGCTCCCTTGGACGTCCTTGGAAAAGGTCACCCGGCTTTCCGGGTCTCCACAAACGCTTTGCCAGCAGACCCAGAGCGATCCGAGGGGTCATCAGAAAGGCTCAGGGGAGACCCCAGACAGCACAAGAGCGCTCCAAGAGGGACTCCAATTGCGTCAGGACGGCCCAAAAGACCCCCAAGGCACCCCAAAAGCTTTCCAAGGGGCCTTCAAAGCACAAAAATCGTCCCATTTCCTGCGTAAAACTTACAATTTTAGCATATTCGCCTTTCGGATTTTATCAGCTTTCAAGACGGTTTCAAAGCCCCCGAGATCGCCTCAAGACGCCCCAAAAGGCCCCCAAGAAAGCTTCAAGACGGCCGAGCCGGGCCCCACGATCGCCCACGAGAGCCCCAAGACAGCCCATAATGGAACCAAGAGGCCCCCCAAGGGCTCCCAGCACAGACCCAAAAGGGCCATGGGAGGTCCCCAGAAGTGCCCAAGATGGGTCCAAAGGGGGCTCCAGCGGGCCCAAGCTCCCAAGACGGCCCAAGAAGGCCCCAGGACGGCCCATGAAGGCGCCAAAACGGCCCACGAGGGCCCCGAAAACACCCCCACGATGTTTCCGAATGCCAACATAAAGACCCCCAAGGCACCCCAAAAAGCTTTCCAAGGGGCCTTCAAAAAACAAAAATCGTCCCATTCCCTTCGTAAAACTTACAAGTTTAGCATTTTCGCCTTTCGGATTCATCAGCTTTCAAGACGGTTTCAAAGCCCCCGAGATCGCCTCAAGACGCCCCAAAAGGCCCCCAAGAAAGCTTCAAGACGGCCGAGCCGGGCCCCACGATCGCCCACGAGAGCCCCAAGACAGCCCATAATGGAACCAAGAGGCCCCCCAAGGGCTCCCAGCACAGACCCAAAAGGGCCATGGGAGGTCCCCAGAAGTGCCCAGGATGGGTCCAAAGGGGGCTCCAGCGGGCCCAAGCTCCCCAAGACGGCCCAAGAAGGCCCCAGGACGGCCCATGAAGGCGCCAAAACGGCCCACGAGGGCCCCGAAAACACCCCCACGATGTTTCCGAATGCCAACATAAAGACCCCCAAGGCACCCCAAAAAGCTTTCCAAGGGGCCTTCAAACCACAAAATCGTCCCATTCCCTTCGTAAAACTTACAATTTTAGCATATTCGCCTTTCGGATTTCATCAGCTTTCAAGACGGTTTCAAAGCCCCCGAGATCGCCTCAAGACGCCCCAAAAGGCCCCCAAGAAAGCTTCAAGACGGCCGAGCCGGGCCCCACGATCGCCCACGAGAGCCCCAAGACAGCCCATAATGGAACCAAGAGGCCCCCCAAGGGCTCCCAGCACAGACCCAAATGGGCCATGGGAGGTCCCCAGAAGTGCCCAAGATGGGTCCAAAGGGGGCTCCAGCAGATCCAACACGGCCCAAGAAGGCCCCAGGACGGCCCATGAAGGCGCCAAAACGGCCCACGAGGGCCCCAAAAACACCCCCACGGTGTTTCCGAATGCCAACATAAAGACCTCCAAGGCACCCCAAAAAGCTTCCCAAGGGGCCTTCAAAGCACAAAAATCGTCCAGTTCCCCTCGTAAAACTTACAATTTTAGCATATTCGCCTTTCGGATTTCATCAGCTTTCAAGACGGTTTCAAAGCCCCCGAGATCGCCTCAAGACGACCCAAAAGGCCCCCAAGAAAGCTTCAAGACGGCCGAGCCGGGCCCCACGATCGCCCACGAGAGCCCCAAGACAGCCCATAATGGAACCAAGAGGCCTCCCAAGGGCTCCCAGCACAGACCCAAATGGGCCATGGGAGGTCCCCAGAAGTGCCCAGGATGGGTCCAAAGGGTGCTCCAGCGGGCCCAAGCTCCCCAAGACGGCCCAAGAAGGCCCCAGGACGGCCCACGAAGCCGCCAAAACGGCCCACGAGGGCTCCGAAAACACCCCCACGATGTTTCCGAATGCCAGCATTCTTTGATTTTGCTCCCATGACATTTCACATTGTGACCCAATCGTTGAGGGTCTCGTGGCATGCAGCGAAGATGCCCGAGGATGCCCCGTACGAGTTGCATATGCATGTTCATACCCTTACACATAAATTTACATGTACAGATGTACGCTGTATACACCCATACAACAAGGTAAGTATATTGTATACGCCTAGACATTTACACGGAACGTGCATGCATGCACGCTCGCATGTATAGATGCATGCGCGCATGTACGCACGCACGCATTCCGCTTGCGTGCAGAACTCAAAGGGCCAAGGTACATGGCGCGCAGTGCCAATGCAGTCTTGTATATACATATATATATATATATAGATGTTGTCAGTTCTCCCAGTGGTGGCAATGCAGATCGGCGGCGAGCGAGGGGCGGAGGTGAGAGGCGAGGGCCTGCTCAGAAGGCTCGGAAGTCCCCGGCCTGGTGAGGAGTCGTCTATAGCCCCCCCCCGAAAACCGACAAAAAACACCTCTCAGAGGGCGCGAGGGCTTCCGCGAAGTCGCGCCGCCTTCTGAGAAGGCCTCCTCCATCTCACTTTCCCCCCCCTCGCTCGCCGCCGACGCGTGGTGTCAGAAGCCAACGCCTAGAAGCCGTCACGGTACGAACCTGCCGTGCTACGTGGCTGGGCGCGCACGTGTCTTGTGGGCTCCTCTTGTGGCCCATCGCGGTGGGCCGCGCCAGCGCGGCGCAGGTCCTGAGCCCCACGTCCTCGGGCTCGTGCGTGAGCCCGTCGCACTTCGAGGTGTGAGCGCGCGCCCGCGGCCGGGCGCACGGCGCCGCCGCCAGGCCTCCAGCAGTCCGGCAGCCCAGTGACAGGCGGCTGCGCTGCCGGACTCGGGCCGAGCTTGAGGAGGGGCGAAGAAGAGAAAACGGCATGGACACCAACTTTTGACGCTCCGCGCGGATTACTTGGATCCGCGCTGGCCCTCCCGGCGGCGCCTCCGGCGCCGCCTCTGGCGCGCTCCGCGCGCTGGGGAGGGGGGGTCCAGCGCAGATCCACGAAGTCTGCGCGGGGCGCCAACACTTGATGCTTGTGCCGTGAATCCCTCTTCTGGGGGGGTCTGCGGGCACGCGAGCCGCCGCTGGGGCCAAGGCGCAGGCGACTCGGGGCCAGGGCCTGAGGCTCCCAGGCGGCGCGGTGACCGCACCCTGTGGTGAGTCGGTGGCGGGCGAGAGTCCGTGTGACCGCGCGGTGTGGGGGGCTCGGGCCGTGCTCCGAGGACGGCCAGGACGACCCGGGGCCTGCAGGGCCCCAAGGCCGTGCGGTGGCGGGAAGTGCGGTGAGGTCTCTTGGGATGGCGCAGTTGCCGCGCGGCCTGTCACCGGACCGGTTTTGGGACTTCAGGACGGGGGGGTCCGGGCGTTCCCAGGCGCGCAGCGCTCTGGCATGAGTCGAGACGGCACTCTGTGCGCTGTTGAAGCGCCGCCAGGGGCCCTCCCTGGGCCCCAGGACCATCAAGAAACGAGTCAGGATGGGAAGGCGGCGCCGGGGAAAGGGTCGAGACCCCGGGGGCTCCGCATGGCAAACACCAATCGTCAGATCTCCGGGCTTGGGTTCCTTCCAATGCCCTGTGGAGGAAGCGGGTCGGGGAGCTGCTCCGCGGCTGGCCCGGGGTGGCCCGGGCCGTGGCTGATCCGGGGGTATCCGCTGCCAGAGTGCTTTTGTTCTGCTGCCGGCGGGGGGGGTTGGGAGGGGAGGGGGCCCTGTGACGTCAAGATTTGCGCCCGCGGGGGAGGACTGGGGCTCAAGCAACGTCTGGGCTGGAGGATGGGGCGACGACGACGACGACCAACGTCGTCCGATGTTCTCCAGGAGCCTTTGGAGGTGCACGTAGGCGGTGTGTACATAATTCGTGGTGTGTGCAGTAGTGTGGTGTCACAGGCATTGCCTCGTACAGCGTAGACAGGCGCTGTGGTGCACACAGGTGCTGCTGCAGCGCCAGCTGTATGCACACAGGTGTTGTGGTTTGCGCAGGCGCTGTGGTGTACGGCGCTGCGATAACAACCAAATGGTGCTGCTGAAGCATCAGCTGTGGTGTACACGGGCGTTGTTGTGTACGCTGTCATTGATGTGTGCACACGCGTTGTGGGGTACGCAGGCTTTGTCGTGTACACAGGCAATATGGTTGACACACCACTGTGGTGTAAACAGACGCTGTGGTGCACGCAGTGCGGTGCTGATGCTGCAGCATTTGTGTGGAACGCACACTGATGTAAACAGGCACTGGGGTGCACACAACACAGGCGATTGTGTGCACACAGGCCCTGCGGTGAATACAGGTATCGCGGTGCACATGGGCATTGCGATGTACACATGCGCTTCGGTGTACACAGGCATTGTGGAATGCGTGGGCGCTGTGGTGCGCACAGGTATTGCTGATTGTTGTGCTCACTGGCTCGCTGGTGCATGCACGTATTGTGGTGTTCGCAGGCCGCGCAGTGGTGCACGCAGGCTTTGTGGTGTACACGAGAATGAGGAGGAGGAGGAGGAGGAGGAAGAGGAGGAGGAGGGGAGGAGGGGGAGGAGGGGGAGGACTGGAAGGAGGAGGAGGAGGAGGAGGAGGACGAGGAGGAGGAGGAGGAGGAGGGGGAGCACTGTGGCGTACCCTCGAGGGTTCTCCGAGTGCTGCCGAGGGGTCGATCGCGCGTGGTGCTCGCGGGCACACTGTGGCGCAGCAGAGGCGCTGCGCCTGCCGCTGGTGCTCCCGTCAGGTCCTCACGCTGGGCCTGGCGATCGCCAGTGCAGATCCTTACCTGGCATCAAGTCGGGCACGTCCCTCCACAGGAGGAATCTTCAACAATAGTCCAACAAATAGTCTGTCTGGAGACGATGTTTTAGTACCAGTTTGACAGTGTTTGAATAGTGTTTGGCATGTTCGGTTCTCCGTCCAAGATCCCCCTGTAGGGGGGCATGCCCGACCTACACCTGTCATGCACATCCCACCCGTCTCAGCTATTCGTAAGCACTCCCAGGCGGCACTGACGCGAAACGTGACACTACCAGGGTGGCGGGCAGGCGTGGGGAGCGGCCGTCAGCACGGATCGTTCCATCGATGCTTTCTTGCAAGTTGCCAGTTGTGTGGCCAGCTTTGGTTCGTGACATGATTCTGGTCGTGCCGGGTCAGCGCTGGCTCAGGAAATGTAGCGCGTCCCAGATGAAGAGCGGAGGTCTTGGAGAAGCGGGCCCTGCAGCTTGTTTCTCTATTTTAGAGCCTCTTGGGGTTCCCAGGTCCTGGATGCTCCTCAGTCGGCCAATGATGTTGTAAGGGGTCTGAACTGCATCAGGCGAGCCCGTCCCTATGACACAGAATGCGAACAGCGTGCCGCTGGAGTGCCGTGTCATGCCCGCGAGCCATGCCGTGCGGCGCGTAAGTCCAAGAATGCGACCAATGTTCCGTGCCGAACCGTGGCGTGCCCGCGTGCCGTGCAGTGCTTACGCTCTGGCATGCGAAGCGTGGGCCGTGCCGTGCCGTGCCGTGCCGTGCCTGGGCTTTCGGGTGCGATCCATGCGCCGTGCCGTGCCGCGCCCGCGGGCCATGCCGCGCCGTGCCTACAAGGCAGAACGCGAGAGATGGTACCGTGCCGCGGTTGGGTTGACGAGGCCCCGTCGATCAGGGCGAGTCAAGACAGTTGATGCTTCCGGCCCCTGCGGGGATGACCGCGAGGGGTGCTAAGGGGTATAGGGTTGTCTAGCATGGCGGCCAAGGTGCCGTGCCTGCGGTCTGGACTGCGAGCAAAAAGCGCCGTGCCGTGGCGTGCCGACTTTCTCGGAGGAGGAGAGAACAAGGTGCCGTGCCGTGCCCGCGGGCCGTACCGTGCCTGCCTACCTTGGGTGGAATATTCATCGAGGGGTGGGTGATTAAGTTTCCGACCGAGCTTGCCTATCCCCCTCCCCTCCTCCACTTCCTCCTCCTCCTCCTCCTCCCCGTCCTCCTCCTCCTCCTCCTCCTCCTCCTCCTCCTCCTCCTCCTCCTCCTCCTCCTCCTCCTCCTCCAACCCCCCCCCCACCCGTTCCGACAGCACGTGCCCAACCCCCCCAGCGGACCCAAGGGGCGGGGGCGATTGTTGCCCCGTCCTGAGCAGGCTTCAGAGTGCGACGCACGCGCCGTGCCCTGCCCGTGTGCCGGCGTGTGCGAGAAGTGTGCCGCTGGCGTGCCGTGCCCCCAGGTGCTGGAGTGGGACAGGGTCGCCGTGCCGGCGCCCCGTGCCGTGCCTGCCGCCGCCAGAGTGCGAGCGGGGTGCCGTGCTCTTGGCTGCGCGGCGTGCCGTGCCTGCGCGCCGGGGCATGCGGCAGGCTGTGCTGTGCCGTGCCGTGCCGAGGTTCTAAGCTATCGGAGGTTGATAAGACCTCCTACACTGGCACGTCGAGTAGGGAATTGGCCGTTTTCGGTTTGCGCAGGGGCGTCGCGGCCGTCGTTTTTGCGGGTCCAGGTCGGCCCGTTTCGGTCCCAGGCCGTTTTGACTAAGGGGGAGGTTGACTAAAGGGGTGGTTTGTCTACCGCCGAACCTAGCGCGTATCTTGTCACAGCTTGAACGGGTTTACAGGCGCACATTGCTGCCGCCCCTGCCCCCCTGTTCACCCAGCAGTTTCAGCAATCGATCTTGGACTCCCAGTGCCAATGTTTGTACCTCATGTGTCGATGCACCTTTTTGGTATTGCTGCTGCAGTTCGATCAGGCTAGTACGAACTAGCGGAGGATGAACACCTGTTTCTGCGGCCGCAGCTCAACGACCAAGGTCACCCGAACCGTGCAACTTGTGCCCAGAACTCCACGACCTGTCACCCGTACCATGCAGGAGCAGAGAGAGAGAGAGAGAGAGAGAGATATATATATATAGAGAGAGAGATAGAAAAAAAAAGAAAAAAAGAGAGAGCGAGAGGAGCGAGCGAAGAGCCGTTGAGGTCTCTACGGCATCAGAACGACGGGCTGTGCACACAGAGTCTGCCCCCCCCCAGGCTGCTGTGCCAGAGAGGCAGCGCCGACACGGACTGCGGCACGCGGTTGGCGCCGTGCCGTGCCGTGCCGTGCCGTGCCGTGCGCGCCGCGCGCCGTGCCGGGCCGTGCCGCGGCCGCGCCGCGGCGTGCCGTGCTCGGCCTCTTGCGGCGGCGACCGCCGAAGCCGAGCACGGTGCCCCTCCGATGTGCTGGGCCTCCCTCCCTAAGGGCTTGTCGACTTGTCGCCAAGCGACTTGTGGGGACCGAGCCAGATAAATCAGGTAAATGCAGATACATCCAGGTACATCCCGGCAAGTCGAGATAAATCCGGGCAAATCCAGGTACGTCCAGAGACCTCCAGGGAAAAAGTTGGAGCCATTCGCGGCCGTTCCAGCGCGGGTCCAAGGACGGCAGAAGTCGTCAAGCCTTTAACGACTCCCAGCTGGCCCTTCGCGTACAGGCGGCCCGTCAGGCCCGCGCCCCGGACTTGCGACTCGCCGCTCGCGCTCTCGCCTGCGGCCGCGACCAAAAAGGACAGTCGGCCCAGATTGCAGTCAAAAGCCCTAATAAGGGCGCGCGGCTTTGCTCAGGGTGCCCCTGCGTCCTTGCTCTTCCTTGCTCTTGCGTCCTTGGGGTTTTCGTCGTCCGCCGCCTCAAAAGTCCCAACTTCGGCTTCCAAGGGTCTTGCGTCCTTACCGCGCGTCCTTATTAGGGTTTTTGACTGTAGTAGGTCGACCCTGCCAAATCAAGGGTACCCTTGTGTCCAGTGTCTCGCGGCCCATGCCTCCTAGATCCCCCACGGCGGTATGGCCCTCGGAAGGGTCTTGTGTCCTCTCGCGTGTCCTGTCCAACCAAGGCCGACTGTAGGCCTCCCAGAAGGGGCCGGAGTAGATGGGGTCGAGGGATCGCGCCGCATCGCCGATGCATCGCCGATGCATCGCCGATGCGGCTCGATGCGCAGCCCGTGTTTCCCCGCGCCGACGTCGCGAATACATCGCTGACGTCGCCGATGCATCACCGATGCGGCGCGATCCTTCGACCCCATCTAACTCGGACCCCATGCATGAGGCCCTAGATGTGGATTCGCCATGTGAGGCGTTCCAAAAACTGGGTATCGCTCGGATCTGTGCGTTTTTTTCTCGGAGGGGACCATCGAGCAGCATCTGAGGCCATTTTGCGAAACGTGAGCGCACGGAGGCGAAGAAAATGCACGGGGAACGCATGTCCGAGCGATGGCAAGAGAAGGGCCCTGCCTTCGAGGATCGAAGGGGCTGCCCTCTCTTCCAGAAGCACGGGGCCGCCTCCGACGGCGGAAGCCGGCGGAAACTCGGCGGAAGCCGGCGGAAGCAAACACCGATATCCCAAGAGATGGCAACAGTTTTGGGCTCAGGGCTTCCGAAATCGGCCAGGTGTGTTCTCGTGCAGTTCGGCAGCGCCCGCGGGTGCACCGACGCCGCGGCCCGGCTGCTGCCACGGCCCCCGCTGCCGCTGCTGGCCGCGCCGGCAAGCTCAGGGTGGAACCGTTCCGCGTCTGAGTGCCCTCCGCCTCCTCCCGTCCTCCGCGGCCGCCCTATTTGTTTTATCCCTCCCCTCCTGCACGCCGGCCAATTCGTGTTTCGGTCGCCCCGATCGCTCACCGCTGGAGCAGCTCTTCTGCCACGCCGCCGACGAGAAACAATTATCGTGCAGCGTTGCTGTTTAGAGCCCCCGTGCGCGTGGTAGGTCCGCCGCTCCCGAGAGACTCCCGGGGGCCCCCTCCCCAGGCCTCGGTTCTCGAAGCACGAATGGGGGTGCAGGCCTGGTCGTGGGAAGAGCTCGCATGCCGAAGGGTTCGAGTGTTTCGGTAGCACATCATGGGAGCCTGGTATACCCTCTTCATTCCGTCTTTAGCGTCGACTAGCGTCGGCTAGCGTCTGGGAGTCGATGAGATAGCGCCGGTGCAGCGTCGGCTAGCGCCGATTAGCGTCGATCTAGCGTCGGTTAGCATCGATGTAGTGTCGACTGGCGTCGACTCGCAAGAGACGACAAGATGGTATGGGAGGCTCCCATGCGTTGCCACCGAAGGGTGTGCGGACGGGGCGACCGAATTTCAGGCAGAAGAATTTGATGCTTGCTGCATTTCCATTGCTTCCCACCGAAGTTGCAGCGGCTTTGTGTTCCGCTCCAGTGCCTTCGGTGGGGCGCGCAACGTGGAATTCGTTGCGTCGCATGTGCGAGTAGCCACAACATAGTTGGCGCCACGATTTACTCAAGTTATTGTATGTCCTTGTTCAGCGGAATATCTCACCGTCTGCCTGTCTATGTTTGCCTGGCCGTCCGTCCATCCACCTGTTTTTCCCTCTGTTGGTGTGCCCCCTGCCCTCTCCATCTCCCTCTTTTTCTGTTCCTTATTCTCGCTCCCTCTCGCTCTCTCTCTCTCTCTCTCTCTCTCTCCCTCTCTCCCTCTTTCATCCGACATTCAGTGGCGAGGATCTGCATCCGCATGCCCCTCTCTTACCGGGTAACGCTCCTCGCCGAGGCGGCTGCCCTTTCCCTCGGTTTGGGCGGAGAACACAGACATATCCATGAGAGGAAAACGCACATAATCGCTCATTCCTAGGAAAATGCGGAAAGTTGGAAGAAGACGAACGCCCCTAAGAGTATGGGAACATATCCTGTCGAAGGGCCCAGCCATGTGCAATTATGAATCTCGCCGTTGTGGGCATCGCCTTCGGTGGATCTCTTCATGGGGCCACGAAGCGTGTGCTGGCGCGCCGACATGAGGCGGGGATGCATGCGGACGCAGCCACATGGGGCTTCGCGGGCGCTCCATCTGGGCCACGGAACCTGTAAGGGGTGTGCCGAGATGAAGCGGGGCCGCCATGCGAACGTCGCCAGTGGGGCCTTCGGTGGAGCTCCCTATACGGCCACGAAACGCTGTACTGAATGGGGGAGACGCATGCGATCGCCCACACTGGGGCCTTCGGTGGAGCTCCTCATGGCGCCACGAAGCACAGTACTGGGTGGGGTGGGGATGGGGGGGCGCATGCGAACACCGCCACTGGGGCCTTCGGTGGAGCTCCCTGTGGGCCCCGGAACGCTGTGCTGGGTGGGGGGGACGCATGCGAAAATCGCCATTGGGGCCTTGGTTGGAGCTCCCTATGTGACCACGAATCGCTGTGCTGGGTGGGGCAAACGCATGCGAACACCGCCACTGGGGGAGCTCTCTGTGGGCCACGAAAACGTTGTATTGGGTGGGGGAGACGCATGCGGACACCGCCACTGGGGCCTTGGGTGGAGCTCCCTATGGGACCACGGGGCGCTGTACTGGGTGGGGGGGGCGCATGCGGACACCGCCACTGGGGCCTTCGGTGGAGCTCTCTATGGGGCCACGAAAACGTTGTACTGGGTGGGGGAAGCGCGTGCGGACACCGCCGCTGGGGCTTTCGGTTGGGCTCCCTATGGGGCCACGAAACGCTGTAATGGGTGGGGGAAGCGCGTGCGGACACCGCCGCTGGGGCCTTCGGCGGGCCCCCCTTTTGGGCTCCCGGAACGTTGCACTGGGTGGGGGGAACGCACGCGAACCATGCCATTTGTGCTTTCGGCGGAGTTCCCTATGAGGCCACGAAGCGCTGGTGAGGGGTGTGCCAAAGTGGCATGCGAACACCGCCATTGGGGCCTTCGGTGGAGTTGCCTATGAAGCTATGAAAACGTGTGAGGGGTGTGCCAAAGTGGAGGGGGGGCGGCATGCGAACGCATCCTCTGGGGCCTTCGGTGGAGCCCCCATATGGGGCCACGAATCGTGTGAGGGGTGTGCCAAAGTGGAGGGGGGGTGGCATGTGAACACAGCCACTGGGGCCTTCCCTGGAGCCCCCCCTGGGGCCACGAAACGTGTGAGGGGTGTGCCAAAGTGGGTTGGGTGACGGGAGAAGGGAGGAGCGGGAGAGGGAGGAGAGGAGAGGAGGAGGAGACGCGGGGACCGTTTCTTCAAAACGAGGACCCAACACCACAGGATGGTTGGGAAATGCAAGGGATCCTCGGATTTGTGCCGATCTCTTTGTGCGTGTCCCCGGGCCCCCTCACAGATGCAGTCGTCGGCTGGGCGCGACAGAAGCAGGCCCACGGCGGCCCAAACGCTGGCCTCTGCTCGGATCCGGGCCGCCGCCGTGAGGCGTGCCCCCACCCGTCGTCTCTCCCGCCTGGGATCCCCTCATTGCCCTCCTGCCCAGAAGCTTCGCCCTCCCGCTCACGAGTCCACTGGACCCGAGCTTCTCGCCCTCCGGGCGTCGATCAGGGACAGCGTCAGGGGTGGATAGGCTCGGGGGGGACTGCACCGACCCCGCATCGCCCATGCATCGCCGACAGGGGCTCGATGGCCCACCCTGCCCAGGAACGTGCGGATTCGCTGTCGGGGGCCTATCGCCGATCTATCGGCGATGTATCGCCGATTCCAGCTCTTATTTCCGCTCCCTGAGCCGGTGCCTCCCTGGCGTTTCCCCTCATTCGTCCTAGCTGCCAATGGAAAGAAAGGCATGGTGGCGACATGATCTGTTCTACGGCATGTCCTCCATGTGCCTTCAACGCAAAACCAGCGGTGAACTGGAAACATATCTCGGGATCGTTGGCAACCTCATCATGCTTGCCAGAGGCGGTGTGTGTTCCGCGGATTGCAAAAGCAAGAGCCTGTCGGTGTCATGAGAACACCGTTGCTCGCTATGCATCATTGTTTTCATGCCCGCGCATGTCGGTCGCGTAGCATGTATTTTTGCTCGGCACGCGTCCAGCTCAGGATCAAGCAGCACGGAGGGCTTGAGCGCCCCGTGCTCACGACTCGCAGTGCTGCTGCCCCGTAGGAATAAACGGATCTGGCCATCAGGGCTTTCGTTTGTATGGCGTGTAGTCATGGTGCCGCGCAGTGGTCAATTCGTGCAATGCCAAAGCGCATCTCCGTATTTGGGCTGGTGTTGGAGCCGGCTGGGGGCATCTTTGGTTCCCTCCGCTCGGGAGGGGGGGAGGCACCATTGCACACAGGTTTCGCTGCTTGTCTCTGCCTGGGGCCGCCATCTCCAGACGGGCATTGAATGCCCAGTGTGCCCTCCTTTCCCCGCCTGACCGGTCTTGCTGGTGCACATTCCCGAGGGGACCCCCAGCCGCCTCCAAGTCTGATGTAGCATATCAGCCCAACGGATTCTGGCGGTGCCTGCGTTCTTTGTCCGGTCGCCTAGCAGCAGATCGCCGCAACGGGTACACAGGGTTGTCGTTCCTTCAGGTGTTGACTTCGGATGCCGTTCAGAATGGGACCACACATCTTGGATGTCTGGCAGTTCTGATCATGGGCGGGTTGAGTTTCGGGGCAGTCCGAACACCAACGTTTGCGAACAACATTCGGCGGCGCGCCCAGGGCGAAGGCAAGCGGGAGCGGTCCTTCTGATAAGTTTCCTAAGGGCCTTATCCGTCAAGGGAGGAACAAACACCCGGACCCGACAATTGGCGTTGACTAAACGGCCCTGGGCGTTTACTGAACAGCCCTGCCCTGTTTGATTCCTTCTTTGGGTGCGTTTGCTAAACGGCTTCGCGTGTCGGGGTGATGATCAATCACCGGGGTGTGGATTGTCTGCCTTCTCATCCGAAGACGCAGACGTCTTCTCGGGAGGCCCGAGGGCTTCTGCGAAGCTCCGCCGCTTTCCGAGAAGGCCTGCCCCCTCTTCTCGCTCCTCCCCCTATCAGGCGATCGCAAACATGGATCAAGGGGGGGCGTGGATCAGCGACGGGTCCTGCTTCCATGGGGACATCGCGCATTTCCGCTGCCGAGCGAGGCGGCACCGGCCGCATTTTGGGGAGGGCACCTCCCCCGATCCATGGATTTGGCGACCGCGCGCCAAATCCATGGATCGCTACAGTCGGAGGGCATGCCCGACAGAGCCCTGGCTTGGAAGCGGGAGGGCGACTGTGCGCCAGTCCACTGGCAGGGTGGGCTCGGCCGTGGCCTGTGGTGATGTTTAGACTGCCCGAGGTCGGTGCAGCGCCGAGGGGGGAAGCGAGAGGGGGCGGGGCTTCTCAGACGGCGGCGGAGCTTGGGGACAGGCTCACGAAGCTTCTCGGCGGGCCAGATGGCTTCGGAGCCTCAGAAGGCCCACCCCATCTTCCTCCCCCTCGAACATGGGGCGGGAGGGCGGAGGGACAGAAAAGAACCCGTTTCTTTATTGCTTGGGGCATGACGGGCGTCATGGCCCCCGCTCCCCCCCCCAATGACGTAACGCTCCCCCCCCGAGTGCGCTCCGGGCACTGCCGCCGTGCGCATTGGAATCCGCGTAGGTGTCCGCGTAGGAATCCGCATAGGTGTCTGGTCCGCAGGCGTCGTCGTCGTCGTCGTCGTCGTCGTCGTCGTCGTCGTCGTCGTCGTCGTCCGTCGTCGTCGCTCGTGGTCCGTCGCTCGTCGCTCATCGTCGTGACGTCACGTTTCGCGCCGGCGGCGTCTGGGAATGCTAAGGAATGACGGAGGACGGGTAGCACGAACATGTAGGCGGCGATATGCACCACAACGCCTGTGTACATCACAGTGCCCGCGTGCACCGCAGCGCCTGTGTACACCACACCGCCGATGTACACCACAGCAGCCGCGTGCAACACAGCGTCAGTTTGTGCCACCGTGCCTGCGGGCACAGCAGCTCCTGCGTACACCACAGCGCCTCCGTACCCCCCCACATCAGCCGTGCGCAACACAGCACCAGTGTACACCACAATGCCTGCGTGCATTGCAGTGCCTGTGTACGCCACGGCGCCTGTGTGCACCACATCAGCCGTGTGCAACACAGCACCATTGTTGTGTATAGAATGTCAGAGGGGATCCTTGTGACAAAATGGAGCGCGTGTGGATTCCAGAGAAAACAATGGAAAACAAATCCTCATGGACAAAGGAGCGCCGCTGGAATCTACGAGTCCCCCGAGTCCGCCCGCATCACCCTACCTCCCATTTGCGTCCAGGAGGCTCCAGCTAAACTGGCCGTCCGAGAACCAAGTGGACCGATTCAATCGACCATTCTGCGGTGCACGCTGAGATGCGCACGTGCGTTGTCACGCCAAGCCGCACGACAGGGGGTAAGAAGGAGGAAAAGGAGGAGGAGGGGGAGGAGGAGGAGGAGGAGGAGGAGGAGGCGGAGGAGGAGGAGGAGGAGGAGGTGGAGGAGGAGGGAGGAGGGAAAAACGTCGCATTCGATTCTCTGAACTTTCCTGGCGTGGCGTTTAGTTGTCCGCAGCTGATCCTGACGTACATGCTCCTTCTACCTGTCTTGTGCACGCAGGCGCTGTGGTGTACACCAGCGCTGCGATGCACGCGTATGCTGTGGTGTAGACAGGCGCTGTGGCGTGCACAGGCGCTGCGGTGCACGCAAGCACTGTGGTGTACACAGGCGTTGTGTTGCACATGGCTGCTGCGGTGTATGCACACCGGCGCTGTAGTGCTCTCAAGTATGGTATACGCGGGCGGTGCGTTGCACACGGCTGTTGCGGTGTACGCAGGCGCTGTGGTGCACACGCGCGGTGTGGTGCACGCGAGCGTTGTGGTGCACACAGGCGCAATGGGCAGATCGCCACTTACATGCTGCTCGCGTCGTCGTCGTCGCTCGTCGCTCGTCGCGTCGTGCGCGCGGGCGCGGCTGTGGTGCCAGAGCCACTCGGCGGGGGGGGGCGTCACGTCATACCCCCCCCGCCCTCCCCCCCCCCCCCCCCCCCCCATCGCCGAACATAAAGAAACGCGCTCAAATTTAGAACGTCTGGGGTCCCGTTTGGGTTGTCTAGAGGCTCTGGGAGGCCTCCCTGGACCTCTGGGTTGTCCAGGGACCTCCAGGGACCCTGGCAGATGGGGGCGCATGATCGTACCACATCGCTGAGCAAGGCGTCCACATCTAATTCAGTCCGATCTGGATCGGCTCCAGATGTGTAATTGACGTCTTCCCGATCTCGTGCAAATGTACCGCTTCCTTCAGCCCAATTGACGGAATTGGCACTGCCTTTCGTCGGTTTCCCTGACGTGCGATAGAAACCAAAGCTACGTGTAAGACTCAGTCTAGCATGTGCGGAGTTTCTTCAATGCACGGATACCCAGACTCGCGTCTTTATGGCGCCTCAGTGCGAGATGGGGATGAGGGAGCGTTTTCGACTAGGAGCGAGGACGGAGCATAGGTGTAGAGGGAATATCCTTTTCACGTCACTCACGTAAGTGTGGAATTTATTCTGAAATTTCATACCGTCTTTGCGGGAAGCGGCCAGGCTTGAATAATTGGAATTATTCTTGGCATGCGCAGCTCTCTGCATGCTTGTCCGGCGCTGCGAACAAGAATGCTTGGAACGGTCAAGGGGTGCGACAGACCATATTTGCTGTGCATCATTCCAACGCTTGAGTGTTCTCTTGGGGCTCGTGGGCCAGACACCTATTCTTATTCTAGACGCTTCGCGTATCCCTACCAGTCCCTCGCATGTGCACATGCCACTGCGGCCAATTAGCTTCGTTCGCGCCCCGTTCGTTGTTGACCCGCTTCCTGACCTTCGCCTGGGAGCCGCCGACCAAACAAGTATCCCGACCAGCCCATCCAGAAACGATTTCCAGGCGAGTTGAGGTGATCAGGGAAGTGCGGGAGCAAAGAGGGGGACGGCCGAACCGTGTGAAGGAGGGAGGAGGAGAAGGAGGAGGCTGGATGGATGGATGAGGGAGTGGGGAGAAGGAGGATGAATAGGATAAGGAGGAGGAGGAGGAGGAGGAGGAGGAGGAAGAGAAGGAGCAGGAGGAGGAAGGAGGAGCAGGAGGAGGAGGGTACGCAAAAAACGGCCAGAGGTCTCTTGGCTGCCTTTCGGAGCCTCTTGGGATATCTCGTGGGCGCTTCTTGGTGGCCTCTTGGGACGTCTCGGGTGCCTCGGGGGGCCTTTTGGGGCCGCTTGGGTTCCTTTTGGGGGCCTCCTCGGGACCTCTTTGGGGCTTCTTGGGGCCATCTTGGGGCCATCTTGGGGCCTCTTAGGGGCCTCCTGGGCGCATCTTGTCCTCCATCTTGGAGGACATCGATCAAAGAAGAGGGGAGCTTCAATTAGCGCCCCCCCCCCCCCAAGAGGCCAAAATGGGGCCAAAACCAGAGTGATCCAATGATGTTGGCTTGTTGAGGCCGTTTTGGACGCCCTGACCGCTCACGACCGGCCCCGTCCGGGTCCAGGGGAGGGGGTAGGGGGTGGGTTCAAGATGCCCTCTCCGCACGCAAGCCGTCTAGCTCACTCCCACCCGCCCTCCCACCACATAAGTGGCATCCGAGTCTCGGCATAGCCAGGGGTCGCCACTGGATGAACAACCATTGGGAGCCAACGCGGACGCCAGGTGCGCGACGCTCGCCGCGGGCTCACATGCGGTTGGTGTGCCAGATGCTGATGTGGGGGGCGTCAGCATTGTTCTGGCCCTGCGCAACCGCCATCCCTGTCAAACAGCAATACAAAGTGATCGCGGGTGGCCAGCGCAATACTCACGACGTTGTCGCAACGTGCATGTTGCATTGTTTTTGACACGGATGGTGGTTCTGCACAAAGCGGTTTCATTCAGGGTGCCTTGCCATCCCTGTCAAAAACAATACAACGTGTTCACAGGGCGCCAGCGCACTGTCCAGATTTTGTTGCAATATGCACTTCGTATTGTTTTCTGACAGGGATTGGAGGGTGTTGGCAAGGTGGGCCCCGCAATGTGCATTTTGTATTGTTGTTTGACAGGTATGGTGGGGGTGGGGGCCCGCATGGTTCCAGGTTGGCTGCCGGCCAGGTGAAGGAGGGGGTGTTTATTAATAGGGAACAGTGATCAACCCCTCCCCGAAGGGGAAGAATGGGGTTGGAAGAGGAGCCGCCCTGGACCACCTACGCTCAAAGGGCTGGTAGGATTCAGAGGTTCACTGTCTGGACTCCCCAGCCGCGACCCCATGGATATGGGGCAACGTGGCGCAGCTGCCCCGCGCGGAGCGTTCCACAGGTTCGCGTATCTAAGGGAGCGCATCCCGCGCAGGAGCAGGAGCGGAGGAGGGGCAGGATGATGCTGATTATGATGATGATGATGATGATGATGATGATGATGATGATGATGATGATGATGATGATGATGATGATGATGAAGATGATGATGATGATGATGATGATGATGATGATGATGATGATGATGATGATTATGATGATGATGATGGTGATGATGATGATTCTGATGATTCTGATGATAATGATGATAATGATGATAATGAGCATGATGATGCTGATGATGATGCTGATGCTGATGCTGATGATGATGCTGTTGATGCTGATGCTGATGCTGATGCCGATGCTGATGCTGATGCTGATGCTGATCAGGATGAGGATGAGGATGACGATGCTGATGAGGATGAGCATGAGGATGATGCTGATGCTGTTGATGATGATGACGATGATGCTGATGCTGATGCTGATGATGATTATGATGAGGACTATTGATTGTGATGGTGATGGTTATGGTGTTGAGGATGAGGACGATTATGATGATGATGAGGAGGAGGATGAGGATGAGGATGAGGACGAGGATGATCTTGTTGTTGAAGATGAGGAGGATGAGAAGGATGATAACAATGAGGATGAGGAGGAGGATGACGATGAGGATGAGGATGAGGATGAGGATGATGAGGATTATGAGGATGATGATGATGATGATGATGATGCTGATGATGATGATGATGATGATGATGATGATGATGAGGAGGAGGAGGAGGAGGAGGAGGAGGAGGAGGAGGAGGAGAAGGAGTAGTAGGAGGATGAGGATGAGGACGATGAGGATGAGCACGAGGAGGAGGAGGAGGAGGAGGATGAGGATGAGGATGAGGATGATGATGATGATGATGATGAGGAGGAGGAGGAGGAGGAGGAGTAGGAGGAGGAGGAAGACATGGACCTCTAGGGCACGGACATTGATAGGCCAGTCGCTCGCAATGGGCGGCGCCTGCACCTTGTCCGTGGCTGGGTGTGCGTGTGACCGCCCGGCCTCGTGGGAGCCGTGCCGCTGCAGCCGGCAGCGCGGCCCGCGCGCCTGCCGCGGCCGGCCGGGGCACTGCGCGTGGCGCGTGGCCGGCGCCGCAGTCTCCTCCCGCCCCTCGCAGGACGTCCAGGGAGCCCCGCCGGGAGCGCAGAGGAGGAATACATCGGGGGCGGAGAAGAGGGGGGTGACGACTAGGGGGGGGTAGATATCATGGCGGGGGCCATGATATTTCCCCGGATTTCATGGCGCCTCTTCTCATTTCATTACGTCCCTGGCCCCCCCCCGCTGGGCCGCGCACATGCCGCCGGTCACGATTTGCACCCCCCCCCTCTTGGACACCCCCCTCTTGGCCGCTCCCGAATACAGTCGGCCCGGATTAGTAGGTCGACCCTGCCAGATCAAGGGTGCCCTCGTGTCCTGTGGTTCGCGGCCCACGCTGTCTGCATTCCTGCGACGATGTGGCCCTCGAAGGGGTCTTACGTCCTCTCGCGTGTCCTCTCCGATCAAGCCCGACTGCAGATCAAGCAGTGGCGAAGCGTCCTGGCTCGCCTGGAGGCCCACCAGAGAGTGTTCTGAGAACCTTGCGTGGTTTGCACGAACTGTTCTCAGGGCATTTCTGGCTGGGGCTGTCGTGTTCGAACGCATCGGGCTTCTGTTCGAAGAACATTGCTTCTGTCCTCAGAACATTTTCGGGTTTTCCGAAGACTTCGTGTTAGGTCTACAGGAATGCCGGGGCGGTCGGTCCCTGCTCAGTCCAGGGAGCCCCGAGGCCAGGAGCTCGGGGGAGGAACGGACGCGGGCACGACCCGTATCCGTACCCACCGTGTCCTGGACCTTCTGGGAAAGGGGCGCCAGCAGGCCGCGGCGCAGTGGATGTGTTGGTCCTACCCTGACACGTCGATGAGTGAATTGGCCGTTTTCGGTTCGCGAGAGGGCGCCGCGGCCGTCATTTTTGCGGGTCCAGGTCCGTCGGTTTCGGTCCCAGGCCGTTTTCACTAGGGGGAGGTTCATTAAAGGGAGGTTTGTCCACCGCCGAATATGGATAAAAATCAGACCTCCAGGGGCAACATTGTTTTATCCGTATCCGTGGCGCCTCCGGTATCGGAGGAAGGGAGCCCGAAGCTCCTAGACGGAGTGGATACGGATACAAATCTTGCCCGCAATAGATACCGACACCCCTGCCCTTCCCTTGTCGCCACGGGTGGATTCGCCTCGATACTCTGGTCAGAGCGCACCCCAGGAGAGGTCCATGGAGGAGTGGTTCGCAGTGTCCCCCCCAGGAGCCCACAAAAGCACGGGTTCCACGAGGGTGATATAGCTGAGAGCTTGTTGGAAGCCGGACTCGACTCTCAACAACGGACCGGTTGCAGAACGACCGGTCTGCAGAACGACGCACACAGGTCTGCCAGCGCGGGCCCCACACACTGAGCGATTGATCGCTTCGCTCACTCCGCCGGCCCAGACTGTGCCATCGCAGGGCGCTTTCGTCCGCGCGTCCGGGGGGGTGGCAGCCTCGCTGCAGTGCTGCGCGGACCGTCGTTGAGTGCTCTGCGGCAGAGGGCTCGAGGACCCCCTCTCGCCGACCCCCCAGCGGGCCAGGGACGCGCCCTGGGCCCTGCGGGTGCTGCTTCCGGAGGTCCGTCCACAGGTGCCCCTCTGGAGCGCCCGTCTCGGGCTCGTTTCTGCGCTTGCTCGGAGCTTCCTCGGGCGGCGTGGGCGTCTTGTGGGGACCCACAGAACATACACCACCGCCACGTCGAGTTCTCCTCTCTCCTCTTTCCAGCGAGAGGGAGCGGGGGAGGGAGGTGGTGGTGGTGATGTATACTTGTGGGCCTCCCATCTTGCGAGACCGGCGGGTTTCATCCAGGCTGCGCCTGGGGCCATCTGGTGCGATCATGGGCGCGCCAGCACCTGGGAGAGAGGTCGGGGGGGTCAAGGCAGCGTTGGAGCTGCCGTGAAGGGACGTTCTCGTTGCAAGGCGGCGAGGGGTCGAGAGGCGTCAAGGCAGCTGGCAGTGCGTCCACGAGGCCACCAGGATGGGCGAATAGAACTTACGATATACGATATGACGCCTCTTGGAAAGGCTTCTTGGGGTCCCATGGGAGGCCTCTCGGCGCCCTCCCTGCGGCATTGTTGGGACCTCCTGGGTCTTCTTGGGGGCATCTTGGGGCCTCTTGGGAGATCTCCTGCGCATTTGGGGGCTCTTGGGGGGCCTGCTGGCGGTCTCGGGGGCCATCTTCTGGGAAAGGATTCGGCATGTCAGCTCGGACTCCCCCTCTTGGGGCACTCTTGGGAGCCTGTGGAGCCCTCTTGGGAGTCCTCTTGGGCCGTCTTGGGGCCCTCTTGGGTTGTCGTAGGGCCGTCCTCGGAGCCTCTTGGTCTGACTTGGGAGGGTATTGGGGCCTCTGGGGCCGTCTTGGCCAGTCGGACGCCCGAAGAGGCGATGACGGCACAATCCTTCCCAAACCGTCGGGCAATCAAATAGATTTATCCTTTGGGGGGTCCCTTGGGTCTGCCCGAAGCCATTCTGGTGCTGTCTTGAGGCCTCTTGGGATTGTTTTCCGGGTCATCGTAAGGCTTGCCCTCTACTGATCCCGACTCTAGGGGCGATCTTGAGGTCTCCAAAGAGACTTCCGGCATCCGTGACACCGACCGGCCGGGATCTGTCCGGGAGTTATATTGCGAAGGCCTTACGGCCGGTGCCGCCGACCCTGTTCGCAATGCGCAGCAAGAGGCACGGGCTGTGGGATGGTTTTGGGGAACGGGGAGAAGGACGAGAAGGTGGGGGAGGGAGGTGTCGTATCTGACCCGGGACTTCCCCGGGACTCCCCCGGGACCCCCCCCGGGACCCCCCCTCCCCCCCCCGTCGGGGAAGGGAAAGGGAAGGGGCTTCCCTTCGACTCAATTACGACGTTGCTCAAGGTCGGTACGGGGGGGGGGCGTCGTATCTGACCCGGGACTCCCCCGGGACCCCCCCCGGGACCCCCCCTCCCCCCCCCGTCGGGGAAGGGAAAGGGAAGGGGCTTCCCTTCGACTCAATTACGACGTTGCTCAAGGTCGGTACGGGGGGGGGGCGTCGTATCTGACCCGGGACTCCCCCGGGACCCCCCCCGGGACCCCCCCTCCCCCCCCCGTCGGGGAAGGGAAAGGGAAGGGGCTTCCCTTCGACTCAATTACGACGTTGCTCAAGGTCGGTACGGGGGGGCCGTCGTATCTGACCCGGGACTCCCCCAGGACCCCCCCCGGGACCCCCCCTCCCCCCCCCGTCGGGGAAGGGAAAGGGAAGGGGCTTCCCTTCGAATCAATACGACGTTGCTGAAGGTCGGTTTGGCTAGCGCGCTTGAGGAGGAGGCCCTGGGAAAGGGCGAGGGGAGCGGGGAGGAGCCCTCCAAAGAGACTTCCGGCATCCGTGACACCGACCGGCCGGGATCTGTCCGGGAGTTATATTTGGGTCCGCTCAGGGTATCTTTCGTCCAGAGACCCCCAGCGGCCGCCACGCGCGCGCGCGAACTAGATATCCAAATCACCTGTTCTTGCAGACTTTAGCACGCTGCTGGCCCCTTTGGCTCGCGAATTGATTTGTCGGTGACTAAGTCATGTGGTGCAATCTATGTGGTGCACTCGGTGTGGTTTCAGGTGTGCGATGTAAGCTATACGGTGCAAGCTATGTTGTGTGAGCGATTTTGTGCAAACTGTGTGGCGTGAGCCGTGCGGTGTACGTGGTGTTAGCTATGTGGTGCAGGCTGTGTGGTACAGGCGACGTGGTGCAATCCATGCGGTGCAGCACGTGTGGTGTGAGCTGTGCTGTGCAAGCTGCGTGGCACGCAGACTGTGCAGCGTAAGCCATGCGGCGTGCGCTGCGCGGCGTGAGCCGCGTGGCGCGCGCCAGGCGCCCAAAAGGGCCGCCCACCGGGCGAGATCCCGCGAGGCACCTCCCCGCCCAGCGCACGCGCCCTCCGCCAGGCGCCCACGGCCGCCAACCGGGGCGAAACCTCGGCAGCCCCGCCCATCGCACAGGGGCTCCCCAACGGGGTGGTGACCACACCGTTTGGTGGGTCGGTGGGGATTCGGGGTCACCGCACGGTTTTGGGACTCGGGTCGTTCTCCGAGGATGTCTCGGGCGATTGGGGCCTCCAGGGCCCCAAAGCCGTGTGGTGACGGACCGTGCGGTGAGGTCTTTGCGGATTTCGAGGTCACCGCCGGGTCTGTCACCACACGGTTTTGGGACACCCAACATCGCACGGGTCGCCAGGCGACAACGAGGGGAACAGGTGGAGCAAGAGCCAGAGCTCGAAGAAGAAACAAGCGCCACGAACACGGACTTTGGGCGCTCCGCGCGGATTTCTTGGATCTGCGCTGGGGCCTCCCCGGCGGCGCCTCCGGCACCACCCTCGGCGCGTTCCGCGCGCCAGAGAGGGGGTTCTAGTCCAGGTCCAAGAAACCCGCGCAGAGCGCCAAACGTTTATGTTCATGCCGTTAAATCTTTTACAGGTGGCGCAAGAACTAGAATCCGCACCGAGAAAATCCGCTTCAACCGAGTGCCAGGTGACAATTGTCTCACATTGTCACGCTGAATTCCATGAGGACAGATTTCCTGCAAACGCCTCTACTAGAAGAAAGGTTCATGTAGGTGCGTTCTGGAGCAACGAGCCCTCCCACCATGGCGGCTCACCTTTGCATACGCGTGCCGTAGTTGTAACCCTCAACGGTCGCCCTGGCTTCCACTCCCGACGCTCTCTGTTGTCTGCTTTTCTGCAGAAGAGAAGAGTCTCTGCGCATTCGAGTAGACTGCCTTTTCGTACTAACTTGAGGCACCGACACCGAGCACAGTTGCGGATGGCCTCAAGACCGCACGACGGGACGGCGTCAGCCCTTCGTGCGGTCGTCTTTTGCGGACGTCGTTGCGGCAGCTGCAGTGCACATCAAGCTTCGCAAGTGCTTCCGTGCCTCTTTTCACCCGACGAGGAGGTGCGCACCTCGTGGCATGGGCGCGCCACGTGGCGAGACGTCTGCTCGCGAGGAGGCCTGTTTCGCGCACGTGCAGGCACGCGGAGTGGCACCACTTACAGGGTGGCTCTTGAACTGCACGAGCATTTGCGTCCAGTTTCCCAGCTCGCTGCTGTACCAGCAGACGGGCACCGCCATCTTCCTGCGGGTGCCCCCAAGCGGAGATCTGAACGCGGGTCTCACCACGCCGTGGGATCCGTGAGAGGGTTTCGGGTGACACATGCTGTGGGACTTCCGCAGCGCGGAGGTGCAGCTCCATCTTCAGTGGACGCCGCTCGACGTTGAGAGGTGGAATGGTTTTGTTTTGCGTGTCATCTTCAACGGCCAGCCCCAGAAATGCTCGCGTCGTAAAACAACGCCACGGAAGGTTCTTGGCCGTTTTCGGCCTCCAGTGGCTTCGTGGCCCAGGACCGTCAAGCACGATTCGGGATGAAAAACGGGTCTCTCAGAAGGGCCTTGCCCATCTTTACGAGTTTCTAAAGCTACGGGAAGACTTCTCAGAAGGCAGGAGTCCTCTGAGAGGCGGGCTGCCGTCTTAGAAGACCTTTGCCCTCTTCCGCATGCCGCCGAGCGGGCTGCGTCGTTGGAGTCTTTCTTGTTGGGAGGGTCTTGATGTATACGCCACGTCGATTGGCAGGCTAAGAAGCTCAGTGAGTAGACGCTCCAGCTTCCAACCTTGTGGATCGCTGGAACGCCTATGCACCAAACACCTTCGCCGAATTCCTGGGCTCCTTGGCCGACCAAACGACATCTTGTACACATGTCTACAGCCCCTCCGACCCGCGTCCTGCTCTCTTAGGGCACCCCGTCGATCCTGCGCCGAATCTGCTGAGCAGTCCCTTTGTGGACATGTGTGCGTGTGTACAGTCTGCATGGCGTGAAAAGGTACCGTGCCAGAGTTCAGCAGCGGCTATGGTAGCTCACAACCTAGGGCCATGTTTCGTCCTTGTGCCGTGCTGCTCTGCACAGCGCTAGCATTGACCTCTTGTGCCCTCATGGAGGTGAGCTCGCGCTGCGGTCGAGGACATAAAAAAGGCGCATGTTCTTCAAGCTAAGCCTTTCGGCCGCTCGGTGAGCGTACACCTGCAATATTCATATGCGCGTCGACGCATTCCAAGGCCTCGAATCCGCAAACATTATGGCCAACAGATTTTGTGGTGCGGGCTGCGGGATGTTACCAGATCATGGTGCCAGTGAAAAAGGGCGCACGCGCGATTCACAGTATTTGCTTTCTTGCCAGAACAGATGGGGCAACCGTGCGCGATCATGTTTCGAAATCGCTTGCAAAGTCAACACCTACGCCTGGGAATCAGGCGCGTGGACACGCAACGAGCTGTCCCTCAGCCAGCATGTCGGCGCAGAGAGTATGTGCACATACCAGCACCCGGGGAGATGGGTCAAATGTCAGACGCATGACATAACACGTCCGCAGCGATTCGCGGGAGCAAGCGCGCAGACAAGGGCGCGATTAGTGACGTTGCGGCCTCGAACGGTGTGCACCTGCTGGACAGGCTAATCGACATGATGTTTCGAGGTGATCTCTTGGAAGTGCATTCGCAAAGGAGTTACCTCCCGCAGATGAGCTGCTCTAATAGTCTGTCGTACCTGCGAGTATGATTGTCGTCTCATGCGCGCTCATGTGCACGACTGGTGTTTACGAATGTCTGCGTTTGAGCAACAGTTGCGTGTATGATCGCGTTAGTGCCGACAGCCGCGGAGTGGTGCCCCCGCTGGCCGCGGTCACCCCAGGCGTCTGCGCACAAGATCGCCTGTACCTTCCCTTCTTGCTTCCCTTGCCCTCCCCATCCTTCTTCTGCACCTCCCCCTCCCCCTCCTCCGCCTCTCCCTCCTCCTCCCCCCTTTCTCCTCCGCTAACTTCCTCGCCCTCCCGCCTTATCCCGCCTTATTCCTTCTCGCTCCTCCATCAAGCGCTTCCCACCTCGCGTCCTCCTTCACTCCCTCCTCACTCCTCCTCTCCTCCTCTCCTCCTCCTCCTCCTCCTCCTCCTCCTCCTCCTCCTCCTCTGTCTCTACGGTCGTCTCCTCCTCTTTTTCCTTCTCCTTTTTTTTGGTAGCGAACGCGGGTTTCTCGTGCGCCCTGGAGCTCTGTGCCGGCAGACGTCTCCGCCAACCAGCAGCGAGCGCGGCTCCCCCGGGGTTGGCTGGCCGTGCCCGGCAGCAGCCGCTCCCAGGGGTGCTCCCGGGCGGCCCGCGCGCCTTTCCCTGCGCCGCGCGCCGCCAGGTTGGGCCCCAACCCCCAGCCCAACCCCCACATTTGGCGCAGCCCCCCTCCGCCGCAGCCGCTGCTTCCCCCCCCCGCCGCCGCCGCCGCGCCGCGAGCGGCGCCGCCCCCGCGCGGCAGCCGCCGCCCGGCGGCCACCTCCGCCCCCCGCCCGCCAGCTGGCAACTCCGCGCCGCAGCGAGGGGCGGAGCGCCGCGCCCCTCTCGGCGGCCGCCGCCGCGGGCCGCAGCGCGCGCGCCCCTTCCGCGCCGCGGGCCCGCGGGCGCAGAGCCCGCCGCGGGCCGCGGCGGCCTCTCGGCGCCGGCAGCCCGCCCAGGGCCTTCGGCGCCCGGCCTGCGCGAGGGCCCCGCCGAGGCCGGGCGCGCCGAGCGGCCGCGAGCACGGCGTCGGCGGCGTGGCGCCGGAGCACGCTGCCCGGCGCCGGCTGCAGGCAGCGGGCGGTCGCCGACCGCTCGGTGTCCAGCCGCGGGGCCACTAGGCGCAGCAAGGCCAGAGTCGCCCGTGCTCCTCCCCCCGGGCTTCCGCGTCCTCCGACGCCGTCGGCGGCGGCGACGACGGCGCTCGAGGTCTCCAGCCGTTCCTCGGAGGGTGAATTACCTACCCCGCTTTCGCTTCCAGGCAAAACCAAGTCATACCACGCGCCTCCTCGTCAAGCGGCCTGACCAGTACAGGCCGTAGTTCGGCATCGTTTGGTATCTCTTGGAAGCGAGGGTGGTCAAAACCGAGGTAGGTTTGTTTTCCCCCTAGTTCCTTCTGCGGTGCCCAGGAGGCCCCCCAGGAACGCCCAAGAACCTCGGCGGCGGCGACGCTGACGCCAACGGCCACGGTCGGATCGAGGTATAAGACCGAGGTCGGTTCCCTGAGATCCAACGTCTTGAACAGCATCAAGACGGAGGTTTTTCGCGTTTTTCGGCCTCCAGAGGCCCTCGCCGGGCCCTGAGACCGTCACAACCTTATTCAGGATGGAAAACTGGTCCCGGGGAATGGGTCGAGATTTCTCGGGGAAATCATGACAGCGGATCTCTTGGTTCGGGGAGGGTGCCCTGACGTTCTGCGTTTCGTGTCTGTTGGATGTCCTCGTGCACTCCGGGGGGGGGGGGCTGTCCTCGTTCGGCTTTCTGGTCTGGGGCGTTTCGGCCGGCGGAGGGTTTCGTGTTTTTGCAGGGTGCTCTTCTGCCCTGGGTCCGACCGTGCACGGCGATGCCGGCAGCAACCGACGACCCCGCCGAGGGGCGGCGGCGGCGACGGCGACGGCGACGGTCGCGACACCGCCGGCGGCTGCGCCACGCCGAGGGTGGCTCCAAGGGCCCCCCTGGCCGGGGAGGGGCGGGTGCTCCCGCAGCCGCGCCGCAGGGGGGGGGTCGCCAGGCGCCGCGCGCGGGAGGGGGGGGGGGGCGGGCGTGCTCGGCGGGCGGGGCGGGGAGGGGGCCCGCAGCCGCGGCGGGCAGGAGGAGCCAGCAGCAGCGCGTCAGGGGGGGGGGGTGAGGGGCTCCTCCTCCTCCTCCTCCTCCTCCTCCTCCTCCTCCTCCTCCTCCTCCTCCTCCTCCTCCTCCTCCTCCTCCTCCTCCTCCTCCTCCCTCTCCTCCTCCCTCTCCTCCTCAGGGCCCGAGGGGGGGGAGGCGAACGCAGAAGTTCCCCGAGGGATGCGGGGCTCGATCGCTGGTTGCCACCAGCTGCGCCTCGCCGCGGGCGTCCCAGGGGTGCCCGGGTCGTCCCGAGCGGCCGCGCGGGAGCCGAGTCACGACCCGAGAGCCAAGGGGCAGCGGCAGGGGTGTGTGTGCTCAGCGGGGGGGGAAGCATCTTACCAGCCTCGAACGTATCCCTATCCCTAAGATTGACACGCCAGAAGGCGATGACAATCTTAGGGATTCGCCCTCGAAAAATACGGGAATCCCTAAGACTGGCATCGTGATGAGGAGGTGCCAAGCATATAGGGATAGGGATGTGTTCCAGGCCGGTAAGCCTCGGCCCCCGATCGCCGACGGGGGCCCGGTGGCCCACCCCACCGGGGAGCGCGAGGTTCCGTGGTCGGGGGCCTGGGGCAGATCTACAGTCGGGGGCCTGAAGAAGGAACCTTTTTCGTTTGGGAGGGGCTCCGTGTTCCGTAGAGGTGTTGCTGATTGCCTATAGGTTCACCTATGGCTTTCGATCGGAAATCGAAGTTAAACTTAAGGAAAAAAGGGGCCTCGTTCCTTATTTATCGTTCCTTAGGTCAACGCCCCGGCTGTATTGGCAGTGCATCGCCGATTCCAGGTCGATGGTTCCCTCCCCGAGCCGCTCCCCTCCCTCGTGCGCTCCTGCGGGATGCGGGATGGTGGTGGTCCGCTGCAGACAATGCCGCGGCTGCCGCGGCAGCCGCGGCTTGTCTGCAGAGGGCGGGCGCTGCTGTCTTTTGCAGTGGGAGTGGGTTGTTGGTAGTGGTGCCTGCCCCGAGCAACTTCAAGGAACATCCGACATGAAGTCGGAGCAGGTACGAGGAGCCCCCCCCAGGCGTTATTCGGTACATCGCCCGGCTGTGCGGCAGCGTATTTCGACATGGTTGCGAAAACGTGCAATACATGTTCGACGGTTAGTCTTGTTGGAGGTGACTATGGACACATGCATTTTGTAAAACAAAAAAAACATGAGCCCGAAGCTTGCACTAGTCGGGAGCACCTTTGCGTGCCGAACTATTCACCAGGACTGTCACTAGTGACCACGTTTCTGCCATCCCATCATTCACATGTGCTTAGCCGCAATTGCCTAACGATTGCGCTCATATTTCTACAAGGCTATCCTACCCGTCTGGTTCATGCTCGCCGACAAAGGCGATCCCACAAGCTTGCAGCTGGACGAGCATTGACGACGCTTTACTGATGACTATCCCATGGCTTACAGCTCATCCCGCCACCCTGCATGGGTTGCGGGTCGAGCGTGCGATAGTCGTATTTTCGTAGGTTGTAGGTGTTTTTCCCTACCTAGGCTCTGCCTAGAAGGGTTCTTACTCTCTAGCTTAAAGGGACCGGGCAGTGGAAAGCGCCCCGGGCGGTTCCCCCAGTCCCCGCCCCGCGGTTCCCCCAGTCCCCTGGGAGCTTTAGCTTTAGCTTTTAGCTTTAGCTTTAGCTTTAGCTTTAGCTTTAGCTTAGCTTTAGCTTAGCTTTAGCTTAGCTTTAGCTTAGCTTTAGCTTAGCGTTAGCTTAGATTTAGCTTAACTTTAGCTTAGCTTTAGTTTAGATTTAGCTTAGCTTTAACTTTAGCTTAGCTTTAGCTTAGCTTCAGCTTAGCTTCAGCTTAGCTTTAGCTTAGCTTTAGCTTAGCTTTAGCTAGCTTTCGCTTAGCTTTAGTTTAGCGTTGGCTTAGCTTTAGCTTAGCTTCAGCTTAGCGTTAGCTTAGCGTTAGCTTATCTTTAACTTAGATTTAGCTTAGCTTTATCTTAGCTTTAGCTTTAGATTTAGCTTAGCTTAAGCATATATTTAGCTTATCTGTAGCTTATAATTATCTTAGCTTTAGCTTAGCTTTAGCTTCTAGCTTTAGCTTAGCTTTAGCTTCTAGCTTTAGCTTAGCTTTAGCTTAGCTTTAGCTTAGCGTTGGCCCAGCTTTAGCTTAGCTTCAGCTTAGCGTTAGCTTAGCTTTAGCTTAGCTTTAGCTTAGATTTAGCTTAGCTTTAGCTTAGCTTTAGCTTAGCTTTAGCTTAGCTTTAGCTTTAGCTTAGCTGTAGTTTAGCTGCAGCTTAGCTTTAGCTTAGCTTTACGGTTGCTACTAATGCTGCTTTCCTAGGGGCTCCAACTCCTAGGTAGGGTCGCACTGGG